CTCCTCCTCCTCCTCCTCCTCTTCTTAGCTCTATTTCTCCATTTGGCAGCAAATGGGGCACAGGGGAGAGAGGGGCTTAAGACTTTTCCTCCATGGTATTTTTGCCACAAGAAACAAAGCCAAGGTGGCTGTTTGCTGCTTTGGCTGGCTTCACATGCCCCAGGACTGGCACAGGGTATCAGAGAAAGGGGCCTTCTTGGCACCATTTCTGGTGGCAAAAATGCCATAGGAGAAAAGGCTGAAGCCCCTCTTCTGCAAACCATTTGCTGCCAAATGGAGAAACCGACAGCTTTTTAGAGGTGAGTCCCCTCCTTAAATGTGTAGGGGTCGGGAACCCGTATCCTGACTCATGGATTCTCTATCCTGTATTTTGGCCCTAAGAAATTCCACTGCTGAAACCACTATGATCCCAGTAAAGTCTGCAAACCCTAGTGGCCTTTCCTGATGATTCTACATTTATAAAAGCATGGTGGGTTGTATGACCATTGAAGGAGCCAGAAAGGAATAGTTCAGAGACAGATGGGTGGTCATGAGACTGGAAAGGAGAGAGAGGACACGGCTAACTTCTTCAGTTCTATCACTGCTGTGATTATAGAAAATGCCCAAACACAAGTATGTCAGGAGATGCCTCCAGCCCCAGGACCAGATCCTTCACTGCCACTGTGGGTAGGGTTTCCACCCTCCAGATGGCACCTGAAATATCCCATAATTACAGTTAACCTCCAGTTGATCAAGATCAGTTCCCCTGAATAAAATGGCTGCTTTTGGAGGGTGGACTCTATGGCATTATACCCTGCTGAGGTCCCTCCCCTCCCCTCCCCAAACCCCACTCTCCCCAGGCTCCACCCCCAAAATCTCCAGGTATTTTCCAATCCAAATCCAGCAACCCTAGCCATGGGAGACGCAGCTACCAGTGGCCACACCCTCAATGACAGAGACCCCGGCAGCCTGCCAAGCAACCGCACAGGGCCCTTACCTGCACCACAACTCCAGATGCAGGTGGAAGAACCAGCTGGGGCCTGACACTGGTGTGGCCCAGAGAAAATAGCAGGATCAGCAGCAGGAGCCAGGATGGGGGCAGAGCAGCCTGCACAAAGGCAAGCCAGGGTGGGGCCAGAGAAACCTTTATGAGAGCAAGCAAGTCCAACAGCCAAGGAAAAGCCGGGACAGGGACTGAGGGCTGGCAGCATAGCCCACCCAAGCCCTGGCATAATCAATAGGGCAAAAGGGAGGGCAGCTGGGGGAGAGGAGCCATCCAGCAGCCCAGTAGGAAGGACAGGGAAGGAGCAAATCATCACCCTGTCTCAGAGAGAGGCTAGGGCTACCTGGACCTTTAAAAGCATGTTCCTGGGAAAGACCAAGGAGGAGAGCAGGGCAGAGCTCTAATGTGGCACGTGGTGTGATCCTGGGGGAAAAGAAGAAGGAATAAGGAGGTGTGACCCCCCCCCTTCCCCTTCCAATTCTGAGGCTGGGGAGACATAAGAACATAAGAGACGCCAATGTTGGATCAGGCCAAAGGCCCATCCAGTCCAACAGTTTGTCACACAGTGGCCAAAAATACCAGGTGCCATCAGGAGGTCCACCAGTGGGGCCAGGACATTAGAAGACCTGCCAGAGACACCCAGAAAGACAGCTGAGGGCAAACAAGTGGAGCTGGAGAGGGAGGAAGTAGTCCACCACAAACTGCTGTTTGAAGGCAGGGTATGCAGTGCTCTTTCAGGCAATTCCTGTTACCTCCTTGCTGTGAGAGTCATACTGTACGGACCTCACTGCTACTCATGGACCCTAGAGGGAGTGGTTCAAGAGACTAATATCATGCCCATAGGCATCTGTACAGTACTTGAGGTCCTAGAAGGAGATACAAACAACATGGTTTGAGAATAGCTGTCTTAACACCTACCATGTCCGATCGCCTTGATTTCAACTGTTTTGGGGATTTTCTCTTCACGGCTCCAACCTGAAGACTTGCGGCTCACTTGAGATTTGAACAGGGTGTTCACAAGTGTTGATTTTCCCAGTCCACTTTGGCCTGGAAGGAGAATTGTATAGAATTCGCCACAGCTTTTCTGTGGTGAGTCAGGAGAATCATTTATATCCTGATGGCTGGAAAGACAGAAGGCACTGAGCTTATCAGGATTATTGTTTACAGTTAGGAGTGCAAGCAAGGTCCAGAGAGATGCAGGGACATTTTTTTTTCCTGGGATACCCTTGTCAAGTATTCCTGATAATCCAAAATAATCAAGTCCTGAGGGGGGACTTGAGGGACCTTGTTCTTCTGCTTAAAGGCTAAGCCTTGAGCCAAGTTTTCACTGAAATGGTAAACCAATAACTCAGTTGCTTCAGACTGCAGGTGGGAAGGTGGGAACTTATGTGACTGAATATTCCCTGTACACAAAAACAGTATTATAGCAGGGCATTGGTGAAGATAAAACCTTTCTTCCTGTCATCTAGTTTTCTGTGTGGAAGGGGCATTCAGTCACATGCCTTTATCTGTAGTCTGACGTGATACAGCCCAGACAATTTCACCACCTCTGTGAGAACTAGGACTTTGAGTCACACACAAACACAAAAACCTGGAACAGAAATCTTGATATTAGTCCAGTTTCAACTCTATACCCTGTCCTAGTATCCTGGTCTTATCCCCACCACCACCTCCACACACACACACGACTCTGAAAATGGCACCAGTGTCAAACTCTGGTTTCATAGCTAAGCCTTGCCGCACAAGTCCCCTGGCCTTGACTCCTTCCTACCTACAACCATGATGTTGAAGTCAAATCCAGTTTTCATAGTCTTCTTGCGCATCTGCTCTATGATGGTATCAATCCCAATGTAGCCCAGCAGGTTAGAGTTAATACCAACAGGTTTCATTGGCACCACTGGTTTTGGCCGAGGCTCTGGCACCAGCTCAGACATGGCTGTTTCAGGCTTAATATCTGCTGGACCTGCAAGAGTAGGAGGGAAATAAACAGTTCACACAAACAGTTGAACCATAGCTCTGTGAGCCAAAATTCTAAATCACTCCACTGCTGCTTCAGTTACATTGAAAAAAGTGGGAAGTCGTAGCAAATTAAGACAACTTCTCTTTCTTAAATGCCCTTTCTCCCAAGGCCAGATTAAAACATGCTGAGGGCCTCAGCCAGAGGTCTCCAACCTTTTTGACCCTGTGGGCACCTGTGGAATTCTGACACAGGGTGATGGACACAATCACAAAATGGCTGCCACAGGAGGCAGAGCCAATCACAACATTTCAGAGAGTGAGATTCTGCATAACTCCAGCAGTAAATCTTCAACATTTCAGGCAGACACCCAATTGAACAGGGTGCCTTTTTAAAATGATCATATTATTTTGAAATATTTTCTTGCACACACAGAGCTTACCTTCAGTAATGCCGTGAAGATCCTTGTGCTGTGGTGGCAGCTGCTGCCAAAGCAACATTTTTAAATCTGATCTCCAATCACATCTCCAGTGGCCAATCAGAAGCCCTCCTGGGCAAAAGCCCCATCTGGCCCCTCCTACTTTCTAAAAACACTTGGTAGGCATGAGGAAAAGTGTTAGTGGGACTAAGGACAGCACATTGGGGACCCTTGCTTTAAACTCTGTCAAGTTTTAGTGGCCCCAGAGCATTATAAAAAAGTATATTGAATAGGGTTGCCAACCTCCAGGTGGTGGCCAGAGATCTCCTGGGGTTACAACTGATCTCCAGGCAACAGAGATCAGTTCGCTTGCAGAAAATGGCAGCTTTGGAAGGTGGACTCTATGGCATTAAACCCAGTTGGTCCCTCCTCTCCCCAAACCCTGCCATCCTCAGGCTCCACCCCCCAAATCTCCAAGTATTTCCCAACATGGAGCTGGCAACCCTAATATTGAACAACTTGAAAAGACTATGGTTGGAGACAGAATCTGCAGCACAGAATAGTTGCTTCATAATACAGTCAGTCCAGAATGGACAAGTATGTAAAAGCATGCTGTTATCAGAACAGCAGAAATGGAACATTGCAAATCTTGATAATAACACAACCACAGGATCTTATGTCTGAGGTAGATGTGTGGCCTGAAAATGACCTCTCCAAGATTATAATAACAGAAGTATAAAGGTATGATGGAATGCCATCACAGAATGGTGACATGGGTCCTTGAACTACCATATCGACAAACAACTGAAGACATTGTAGGTCAAAGCAGTGCTCTGTAGGTCAAAACAAACTGCACATTGTAGGTCAAAACAAACTGGAAGCCAGTTGAGAGCTTTTATCACTGACAAAATATCCAGAGATAAAGAATTAATTTCTGTAATTATTCATGATGATTTCAGGTGGCAATTTATAATGTGTTTGGCTATCAGACTAGGGTTGCCAACTTCTGGTTGGAATAGGGTTGCCAGGTCATCCTCGCCACTGGAGGGGGGGTAGGGTTGCCAGATTCAAGGTGGGAAACTCCTGAAGAATTGGCAATGGAACCTGGGGAGGACAGGGACCTGGGGGGGGGGGTACAATGCAATAGAATCCAACCTCCAAACCAGCCGTTCTCTGTAGTCTGGAGATGAACTGTAATTCCAGCGGATCCCCAGGTCCCACCTGGAGGCTGGCATCCCTAGGTTGGAAAATACCTGGAGTTTGTGGGATAGCACCTGGAGAGGGCAGGGTTTGGGGAGAGGAGGGACCTTGGCAGGGTATGATGCCATAAGACTCCACGCTCCAAAGTAGCCATTTTCTCTGGGGGAACTGATCTCAGTAGTCTCTGTAGTCCATATGCCAGACATCATTTGATTTTAATTTATCATTGACGGTGGCAGGCAGATAAGACAAATATAAATTCCTTCCCGATTGAAATGTTATTCTCATGAAATGCTTACAGGGGGTCTGAGAGACAGCCTTTCTCTTGTGACAAACCCCATCTTTTTTATTAGAGAGAAGAATCAGCAAGCAAAGCTGAGCTGAGAGTGTGTCTTAAACATTTCATAAGCAGTTTGTGATTTTGATTTTGACAGGATGTCCCTTCTGTTGTCTTTCCGCAAAGCTGCTGCTACTAGCCAAGATACCCCAGCTATCTGACAAACCATCTAGCAGCCAACTCTCTAATACCTCTTACTCATGCTTCCTTGTTTTCTTTTTAAAACTGTATTCTCCTCAGTAGCTCAACTGAGTTCTGCTTAGGATAGCCCCCTGGCACATGGTCATTTGCCATTAAAAAAATTCATTATATGGTGCTTGTGAACCTCTCCTTAAAATCCACTGTGGGTGAGTTTCATCCTTCAACATGCCAGTGGCCAGTGCTTACACAGCTCTTTCTTCTCAACCTGTAGCTTATTTTGGATGACCACATAACCCTTTAGGCCAGAGCAAGCCTTATTTTGCATAGCCATCTACAATTTCAGCCATGATTTTTAACTTTGTCTCAAGGAAGACCTGGCCAAACATCTTCCCCTGACATAGATTCCTTCACTTCTTATTTACACTTACTCCTTATTATCTAGGCTCTGGTAAGATGTTTTCTAACTGTTATATATAATACATGGGCCAGCAAGTCATGGTCTCAGAGCCCTATCAAATGGGCATCTTGGTTCTTTGGCTGTCCAATAAAAGATGATTCTCACAACTATTTTAAAAAAAGATTTGGCCTACCTGTTTCCTTCATTTCTGTGCAATGAATCTATGCATGCTTGGTTAGCACACCACAGATTCATAGCCTGCCCAGGTGTTGACCAAGTAAGCAGCCAGTCATGAACCCAAGAGTTAATCTGAATGGCCTCAGAAACAGCCCCAAGATTGCAAGTAGAAGCCTTTCAGTGGCAGCTGTATTAGTGCTGCCAGATGTTCAAGATCCTATATACTTCGTATGAGTGTTAAGGGCTGTGGCTTGGTGGTAGAGCATCCGCTTGATATGCAGAAAGTCCCAAATTCAATCCCCGGCACCTCCAATTCAAGGATCAGGTAGTAGGTGATGTGAAAGACCACCACCTGAGACCCTGGAGAGCCACTGCCAGTCTGAGTAGACAATATTGACTTTGATTGACTGACGGTCTGATTCAGTACAAGGCAGCTTCATGTGCTTCATGTGTGACCTCTGTGTGAAGCGCACAGCTTTAGTACAAATATACAAGAATTCATCTTGCTTACATTCAGCACTGATGGGCAGAACAGCAGCTTGGGAAGAAGAACAGCAGCTGTTCCAAGCATGGCCATGAATGTCATGAGTGTGTGGCTGGTAAAGAGTAATTAGTAACTGGTAGGGTTCCTATTTTTCTGCCCATAAGGGGTAAACCCTGCCTTCAGCCCTAATTCCATGCCCTTGAAAAATTGAGGCAAAATTGGGGGGAAAGGGCAGGAAAATGGCCTCTATAGTGACACTTTAGGACTTTTCCCATGTATCTATGGTGTTTACCATAGTGATTAGGGGAAAGTCCTAGAGCATCACCCATCAGTATTTTCACATTCTCCCCAGACTCCAATTTCCCCTGGCCCCAGCCTCAAAAACTCATGGCATTTGCCAAGGCAGTGTTGGCAAACCTAGTAATTGAAGAGGGTGCAGGTTTTCTCTGCTCTGCTGCTTTTGCTTCAACTAGGGTAGTTGGCAGTAATTCCAGTTGGAGTTCAGGGCTGCAGAAATGTGTGTGGCAAGATTGCCACCACAACTGTTTTTGCACAGATGTGATGTAGAAAGGGGAGGAGTGGGGATCGGGGTGGTGGCAGCAGCGTAGGAACAGGAACTGAAGAGGCTATGCCTGCCTGCTTGTTGCTACTACCACTGTGGGGCAATGCCCCCTCTAAGCTGTGGCATCTTGTGAGCCACAATTCTGCTCTGTGAGCTACTGGCATTAAAGTTGTGAGCAGGTGATTTGGCTACTGCATAAATTAGTTTGCTCTGGAGCCATCCCTGCTGAGCTGAGACAGAAATGTGTGAGCCAGAGGCTAAAACACTGTGAGCTAGCTCACACTAACTCAGCTTAGAGGGAACACTGCTGTGGGGTCACATTTTCAACCCCCCTTCTGGAAGCAGCCTTTAGCAAAGCGAAGTATGAGCTGCAGGAGGAGGCTATGGTGACTTTCCTCCAAGAAAAACTCACGCAGGGCCTGACAAGGATGCCAACTCAACCATCTGTCAACAAATGACTGAACTGAAAGTTTTATGAAGTGTATTTGTGCCTTGACATAATTCCAAATGTAAATCAGGGGAGTGCTGGCCCTACTGTTAGACAGAATGAAGCCTCCTGCCTCAAGGGGTATCATTGAGGTAAAACTCAATTTGGTTACATTTCCAAGAACTGAACAAAAGGAGTCTTCAGATATTGCGAGTGTTAGAGAGCTTAGAAAAAACTAGGGAATGAGTCATCACCACTTACTGCTGTTGTGAATGGTCTCTGTCCTGTTCTTGATTACATTTGAATTTTACTTTAAGGCTCACCCCATATTTCTTGTGCTTTGACCCTGCTATTTAATTTTTTTCCCTGTCATATGCGTGTATGTATGTATATGTGTCTGCCAAGTAAGGACCCACCTCACACAACTGACAAAGTGAGCTCTGGTCTACAGCAACATATGCTAGAATAAAAATATGTAAGCCTTTAAGATGCCACAAGATTCCTGTCCATTTTTTCTGCAATAGCTACCCCTTAGGACTCCTCAGGCATTTAATATACTATTATATTTTTGTGTGCCATCTCCTGAACACATGAAGCTGTCTTCTACTGAGTCACACCATGAGTCAATCAAGGTCAGTATTGTTTAGCCTGACTGGCAGTGGCTCTCCAGAGTCTCAGGTAGATGTTTCAGAAGGTAGCTGTGTTGGTCTGCAGTAGAACAGCTAGATTCAAGTCCAGAAGCACCTTAGAGACCAAAAAGATTTTGGGGGCATGAGCTTTTTGAGAGTCAAAGCTCCATCCGATACCTTCATTGTATCTGGCAGAGGGGGCTTTGACTCGTGAAACCTTATGCCCCCAGGATCTTGTTGGTCTCAAAGGTGCTTCTGGACTTGAATCTAGCTGTTCAGGTAGGTGCCTTTCATATCACTACTACCTGTTCCTTTTAAACTGGAGACCCTGGGGACAGAACCTGGAGCCTCCTGCATGCAAAGATTCCCTAGGACTGAGCCACAGACCCCTCCCAGTCTGGGAGAAGGTCACAGGTTGGATTTTCTGCCCTCAGCACCCAAATAATCTTTTTTTTTCTGAAACAGTCACCTTCTTTTATGAACCAATCTGTAGCCTGTGGATGAAAATTGCCCTCTAAATGCTAATTTAGTTGTTATGATGGCGTTTAGTAGATTATGAGATTTATTTTCCCTCAGCTTTGCCACAATGTGTTTTCAGCACACCCAGTCATATTATATAGATTTGCTGCAGCTTCTTAAACCTTCAACCAGAGACCACCCCAGAACCAGATTAAATTCAGTATTCCATTTTATTTGTTTGTTTGGCATAAAGGGCTCTTTTTCTCCTTGACTTCCAGTTCTTTGTCTGAATAGCATCATGGGGATGAATGAGTGAGGCTGAAACAACCCAGAGGCCTCCCTTTGTTCACAAAATAATAATCATAATGTAATAGGTAAGCAGACAGTTCTCATTCAGTACATCTGTAGTTTTACTGGATGTTTTTCTGCCATTCAGAGTCAAATAAGATCCCACTTTAAACTTGTATTAGTGCTCACATTAAGCCAGTGTCTAAGAATAAAATACATTGAACATAAAACCATGGAAGCCATGCTGCTGTTTTTAAAATAGTTCCCAGGTATCTTTTAATTTTTTTTTAAAGTACACTAGGAAAATAAAGAGTAATAAAGTACAGGTGCTGCTTCTAAAGCTGGGAGCCAGGGATTACCTTTGCTCCAGTACATGCTTATACTGCATTACATAGAAGTATGTATTTCAGAAACAGCATCTACATCTTGTTGTTTATTCAAGTTTTACTTTAATTTGAGCCAAAACTCCCCAGGCCCCAGCCTTCAAATCAGACTTGAATGGTAAGCCTCCATTTTGCAATTTGTGGAGACATAATAAAGAAGTACTTCTGAGCATGTGCAGTGTCTTGCCTTCAGGGGAAAAAATCACAGCCAGCATCCACATTTAATATTAGAATATGACTTCCAAACAGGTTTGAATCCTAACTACAAGGAAGGAAGGAAGGATGGACAGCCTATAGGGCTACCGTCCGCAGGCCACCCCTAACCCAATTTAGAACAGCATATATAGCAGACAGATCTATTTCAACATCTTCCCCAACAGTGGTGGAATTGTTTCTCCTCTAGGGTGCATTCACATTCAAAGCTAAATTGGAGTGCCTCATCTGAGAGGTGGAATGCATTTGTTTTAACTTCCTATAACTGATGAAGAAACCGATGTGGTACAAAACCTTGCCATTTTTCTTTCAAATAACTAGAACAATCCAGCAAAAAACATTGGCATCTAACGTATACCAATCCTATGCCCCCCAGTTCCCCCCAATAACACATCCATTCATTCCATTCTCCCACTCTACCAGCCCCCTTTCAGTTCCTAGCCCTTCTGTGCCTGCTACCCATCCCCCACCCAATCACACCCCTTCTTCTCTTTTACCCATTAACCTACATGAAACCAAACATCGTATTTTCCCTGTACGCCATCACAATAAAGCCTCCAACAGTCTGAGGCCCACCGACATTGGCATCGTTCTCCTGCCTGCTTAGGATTCCCCACCGCTGCCCCCCACTATCGCCTCTCTCCAGTGCTCACGGATTGCAATGTGACACATTCATGTCATCAAGAGAGAGCAGCCTCTGGCCAGCGGCTGCTGCTGAGCCAGTTGCAAAGCAGTTCACACCCCTGGGCCAAGCAGCTGGGATTCATTCTCTCCTTTCACAAAAGCCTTAGTGTTCAGCAGCAGCCCCACAACTGCCTGGCTGCCTCCTTGACAGCAGACGGGAGAGAGGGGCGGGAAACGCCTCTTCCCTCCACAGCGGGCTTTCTCTGTAAGGCTCAAGCAGCCACCGGTCTCCCTTCCAGATGTTCATTTCAATGAATGGGGTGCCGATCCCGGAGTGCGTGCCTCATCTCAGCGTCCTTTTTGCGTCTCTGAGCCCAGTGCAGCCCACAAGAGTGTGCAACCATCCCCATGGACCACTTACCTTTGAACATGAATCTTTCTTTGTCTCTGGATGTGATTCTTCAGGGTGGGGTTCCTCCTTACTCTGCTCTGCCCAAAAGGCTGCCTAATGAGATTCCGATTCTCTCTGTGTGTGTCTCTGCCTCCCTCCCTCTCTCTCTGTCTTCTTTTTCTTCTTCAATGGATATTTCAGATAAGCAGGGATGTTGCTGCTGCTGCTGCCATGGTCATGTGACCTGAATATTAACCATCCCTGCAAAATCTCCCCCACTCGGCGCTCTCTCTCTCTCTCTTCCTAGGATTCAGGGCTATACCATTCGAGCATCTGGGAGACCTTGGCAGGATTGGTGGGTGTGAAAATGTATGCTGCCTGCTGGAGGGAGGTGTTGTGATAAATAGGATAGATAAGATGGAGCAAGGAAATGTCCCCTCCCCACCATACAGACACAGTCTTTCTGCCTTGTATCTCTGCCCTCCTTTCCTCTCTGTTCCCAGGCAGCTTTCATATGCTACTGTGTGCTGAGCATCTCTAGAGACAGCCACTCATTAATGCAAAAGTGATTTTAACCCCTTCATCAGCCGCATTTACTAATAAAGAAGGAAAGCATGTGTCTGCAGGTATCTGTTCTAGAATTTAGCCTTGGTGCCTCCTTTCAATCTTATTTGCACTGGTGAACCTGAGGAGCTGATCTATTGAAGCCCCTATGGTCTTTATGTATGTGACTGTGGGTTCAACAGATTTCCATTCCATTTAAAATCTTCATTCTGAGTTTTTAGAAACAACAGGAAACAGTAAAGCACTGTATGGGAAAGATACAGAGTGTCTGCCAGCAATGGTGGGCATGGCGGCCCAGGCAAAGAAAAATCTGCCTTTGTGTCAGTGTGCATAGTGTGTACATGGTGTTTCCCCATGTCCCTGTAGGCATCTACATCTGTGTATGTCTTTCCACATTTGTCAAGGCAAGTGCACATGCCTTGGATAAGTAGAGAACTAGAGGTGCGTCTCCTTTGGGAGTGCTTGCCTTGATGAATGTGCAGAGACAGACTGTGGGCAAGATGTAAGTTGAAAACTAAAGCATGCAAACCATGTATAGACTGCATATGTGACAGTCACATACAGGACAATTGCATTACCTTGACCACATGCAATGAAACTCGCACTTGCGCAGTCTCCACATGTGATGAGTTACACACGAGCTGCACAATATTTGCTTAACAGAACTGCTTTCTAAATGCAAAATAGATACTGTTTGAAGAACTAGAGCTACAGTGAAGATCGACAGAGCAGTCTCACTGTAACTTTGAACAGACTGTGTTCAATTAATTGTGGCAGTAAAGTAAAGGTAAAGGTTCGCTCGAAAGCCAGTTGAATTCGACTCTAGGGTTGCGGCGCTCATCTCCTTTTCAAAGCCGAAGAGCCAGCGCTGTCCAAAGACATTTCCGTGGTCATGTGGCCAGCATGACTAAACACCAAGGCGCATGGAATGCTGTTACCTTCCCACCAAAGTGGTACCTATTTATCTACTTGCAATTTCTTGCTTTCGAACTGCTAGGTTGGCAGGAGCTGGAACTAGAGACGGAAGCTCACTCCATCATGCGGCACACTCGGGTCTCGAACTGCTGAACTACTGACCTTCCACAGCCTGCAGTTCAGCGTCTTAACCACTTGAGCCACCGCAGCTCCTTAACTGTGGCAGTAGAGCACCACAAACTTTGTGCATAGAGTCTCTATGTATATTACAAACGGTATGCACATAGACTCTTCATAAGGAGAGAGCTTCTGCATCTACAGTGTGTACATGTGGAGGCAATGCGAACGGGGGACACCCAATACAAAGAGGTCAAGGCGGGGCTGGCAGGCATGGTCCCACTCCCCCACAAACAGACATACACCTTGATATAGTACACAGGAGCCATCAGCATAGCACTGAAAAAAGAGGCTGCATAGGACTGTTGTACAACAACCCATCATTTGGACTATGCCATATGAAAGATGAACCCATTATCCCCTGGTTTGTCTTTTGGATAGTAGAGAGTACTGGGCTAGAAGTCGCCTTTAAGCTATTAAGCTATTATTCATATTGTTGTTTTAGCTATTGCATTTTATGTAAGCCGCCCTGAGCCTGCTCCAGCAGGGAGGGTGGGGTGCAAATCAAATCAAATCAATCAATAATAAATACGTAAATCACTAGTTCACCAGACTTTCTCTACAAGGTCCTGTTTACATGATGGATTGCAGATAAATAAACGAGTATGAACAGACTTTAACTGCCTTTAAATTTTGGCAGAGTGAAAGAACATGCAATCAGAGTGTTACCTTATGAACCATGAAATCTCAGGCTATCTCCTGCATGTTGCTCCATATTATTCAAAAAAGAAGACACACACCCCCTGCACAAAACCTATGGCAAGTGCTCATTTTGGGACTTACTTCCAAAGCTAGATGTATTTTTCACAGGAGACATCATGGAATCTGATGTGAAAGGATGGCCCAGGTCAAGACACTCCTGTGGAAAGGGAAGGGACAGCTTTCTAGCTCCAGCTAAGTCCTCAGGTACGTGTATGTCTTTCGGAATGCCACATCTGTCATTGGAAGCAGGGTCCTCCTTAACAGCAGTCTTCAGGGATGAATTCATGGGATCTTTTTCTATTATTCGGGAATGTGGATGAGGAGGTGGTGATGGAGAACTAGCAAGGGACAAATTTTTCTTAGTATCTGGCATTTCTGTATCTGAGATATGATTTTCACCTTCATGGCAGGGAATGGCTTGTGTACCTACACAGCTCTCAGCTACATTTTGAGGCAAGGTTTGTAATCCAGATGCTGATGGAGGGCTTGGTAAAAGCCTGTGTCCTCCCCTTCCCTGTGCTTCTTTTTTTAGGGGCACTTTCTGGAATTCTCTCCTTGTCATAGAGTATGAGAGAAGCTGCCGACCAGATGCAGGGGTATTATTGTCCTGGCGGAGAGTAAACGAGAGAGAGCTTAGTTTCCGTGGTGCCAAGCCATTGACTGTTGTCCACTGAAGAGACTGAGATGTAGAAGGAAGAGGATGTGATGTGGGAAGTTCCTGTCTACATGTCTCTTTAGGAGGCCCAAGCCTGGAATTAGGTCTGGTAATCCCTCTGGTCCTTGCCAAAGGTATCTGTTTGGTTGAGTCCTGCATGAAAGAGTCAAGACAGGCTTCTTTTTTCAAGATGGGGCTGAGAGCTGCCAGTCCACCAGCTCCAGGAGAACGAGTTGAAAGTCCTGGGATTCGGCTAAAGTTGGAAGAGGCCCCCAAAGTTGGAATGCCTCTTCTGCTCCTGTTTGAAGAAGGAGCAAAATCCTTATCCATCATGGACTCTGGTGTCTCTGTTTCTCCTAAAGTAACAAAACCAGTGGAAGGGTTAATGCAAACTAGTCACCATCACTCAGTGCCAATAATGCTGGTCCCAGATACTCTATCTAGACAGTGCTAATCTCCATTTCTTATGAGGAACAGCACACAAAAAGACACTGTATTTCCTCCATATATTGTGAAGGCCTTGAATGGCACTTCAAAAGGATGTAGAGTACACCAAATACCACCTCTAGAATAACCAGTACGATTCATTCTGTCTTAATGGAAAGAAACACACATGTGTTCCAGAGGACGTATACTTAAAAGAATGAACTGCAAGCTAGAAACTCCCCCACACTGGTCTTAACCATTTACAGAACTGTACACTGCGAAGGAAAAAAGTGACAAATTGTTGGATATAAGATAACTACCTGTTAATGGGGGGCAGGGTGTGCATGTACTGCCAGAGACTGACAATAGGTTATTTTAAAAAGCTGAAAATGGTTTGAAAGATGAATAATTTATTTGTGATGTGTACACTAATCCTACTTTTACTTCTAGTTAAAAGGTTAGGAGGTTGTTTGCAGAGCTTCAAAAATCTGCAAAGGCTATTTTGCCAAAGAAAGCTGTGGCACACCCTGAGAAGGACACCATAAGAAGGGGAAAGTGCTCTACACAGAGAGTGATTAAAATGTGGAATTCGCTGGCAGAGGATGTAGTGATGGCCACAGGAACAGGCAGCTGTAAAGGGGGTTCAATAGCCTGCTTGCGGGGAGGGCGGGGTATAAATTTGATAAATAAATAAATAGAGAATAGGTCTATCAGTGGCTACTAGCCATGGTGACCAGTGTTCCCTCTAAGCTGAGTTAGTGTGAGCTAGCTCACAGTTTTTTAGCCTCCAGCTCACACATTTTTGTCTCAGCTCAGGAAGGATGGCTCCAGAGCCAATTAATTTATGCAGTAGCGAAATGACTCGCTCACAACTTTAATGCCAGTAGCTCACAAAGTAGAATTTTTGCTCACAAGACTCCAAAGCTTAGAGGGAACATTGAGGTGACTGAGGGGAACCTCCACATTCAGAGGCACTGAACCTCTGAATCCCAGAGCCGGGAGGCAACATAGCCTCTATGCCCTGTTGCTGGCCCTCCCGAGGAACCAGTTGGCCCCTGTGTGAGACAGGATGCTAGACTAGATGGACTGTTGGTCTGATCCAGCAGGGCTCTTCTTATGTTTTTATATTCTTAAGAAGTGTCTCTCTCAAACCATTTTTACCTCTCTTTAAAAAACTATTGTCTGTCTCTGGGTGACAGTGCTTCAAGGAAGAATCGGCTAATTGAGGCTTTGCTTTTTCTAATTGTTTGGCTTTTCCTTTTTTTATGGCATGTTTTTAAATTGCAAGAGAGAGTTAAGAGCTTACCTGCAAGAATTCAGGTGTGAAGTAGCCAAATGTTCCCCGTTAACAAGCCTCTGAAGCCCCAAAGCTTGTGGCTGGTAAACATTCCTGAACTTTCCAAGGGCAGCCCCCCCCCCCAAGCTGCAGTGTATCAAGTTAAAAGCTTCATCACCACTTAGGAAGAACATCAGCCACAAGTTGACATCCAGACCTCTTGGAGCTCATGGTGAATGAGTCAGATCTCTTAATCCTCTACCCGTTGTCTTTAGGTCCATGATGTTTTCCCATCCTGCTCAAGAGATGAAGTGGGAGAGAGCGTTTGGGAGAACTTGAAGCTGAACACAGCTGCATGAAGAGGCAAAGAAGGCGTGGGTAGTGACTGAATGGGAGCACTCATAGAGTGCCCTGATCAGGAAATGGAAAACAAGGACAAGTGGATCCAAATTCCAAAAGTTCTCAGCGCATAAGTGAATAAAAACAACTAAAACATTGTACAACATTTCTCCTTCCTAAGCACTTTACAGATGACAAATATCAAGTCCTACAGAGCAACCTTATTTTGGGAAGAGTGCTCAGGGCACAGACATAGGCAGGAAGAGAAACAGTTATGATAAGAACCACCCCAAAGCCTATCGGACAGAGTAGCTGTTAACAGGATCGAGTTATAGCCCAATATGCCACTCCCTCCCCATGCTGCTGAGTCTGCTTGGTGCCACTGGACAAGTTCCAAAAACGATGATTCTGTTCCCAAAGGAAATCATCACAATCAGCCTTTATGATTAACCAAATGATGGGATTTAATGATTTATAATGAACCAGAACACATGAATAATACTTGAAATACAATTTGAGAGCAATCTTGAGCTTTTTGTTCAAACAAGGATGCATTGTGTTTCAAGATGTTTGCTACTGAGCTGCCTTTCAGCATTGGGACTGGAGGGGAACCATGCGGCAGTGGTTCAAGTTGTGCGGTGGTCTCAGAAGATGGTGCTGGGGGATTCCCACTCTGTCCCATGATCAATGACCTGTGGGGTTCCTCTGGGTTCAGTCTTATCCCCCATGCTGTTTAATATCTACATGATGCCGCTGGGGGAGATCATCACAAAGTATGGGCTGTGGTGTCACCAATATGTAGATGGTACCCAGCTCTAACTTTATTTCCCACTTAATTTCAAGGATGCTGTTGATGTTCCGAACTAGGATTGCCAGCCCCCAGGTGGGAGCAGGGGATCCCCTGATTTAGTGGTTTCCTGTCCACCCCCAACTGCCACAACCTCATGCAATGTCCACATCACATGGCCCACATCACATGGAAGTGACATCATCACGTTGGGGACCGAAGCTTTGGTATTTTGGGCAAAACTCTACGGCACGTTTTGCCCAAAATACCAGAGTGTTGCTGCACAACATCCCTGGAATTATGATGTCACTTCCATGTGATGTCATCACATCAGACATGTCGTGTGTGGCAACGTTGCCCTGCCCCCACCCCACTCCTGGAAAGCTCCCTCCCACCCCACCTCTGCCAGCAAGAGCACAAGACACGGCAACCCCATTCTGAACTGGAGTCAGTAATGTGCTGGATGAAGGTGAACAAGCTGAAACTTAGTCCTGACAAGACAGAGGTTTTCTGGGCTAGTAGAAAGGTAGACCAGGGTACTGAGATCTCTTCTGTCTTGGATGTGGTGCACTCCCCTTGAAAATCCAGGTTTGAAGTTTGGGAGTGCTACGCAACACAGCAGTCACCTTCAAAACCTATGTGGCTGTGGTGTTTTGGAGTGCTTTTGCTCAGCTTTAGCTGGTGCGCCAATTGCACCCATTCCTTGGTCAGTTAGATCCAGCCACAGTAATCCACACCTTAGTTACATCTAGACTAGACTATTGCAATGTGCTTTACTTGGGCTACCTGTGAAAAGTGTTCAGAGGCTACAAGTATTGCAGAACTCAGCTGGTAGACTACTGGCCAAGGCCAGCTATAAGGAGCACATGACCCCAATACTATGGCAATTACACTGGCTACTGAGCCCAATTCAAGGTGTTGCTTTTGACCTTTAAAGCCCTGCATGACAGGACCACCATATCTGAAGGACCATCTTCTCTCTTATGTTAGTGTTCAAGAATTAAGGTCACAGGGAGGCCCTACTGTCCCATCAATCAAATAAGCTAATTTGGTGGGGGTACAAGAGTGGGTCTTTTCAGTGGCAGCCTCACAATTATGGAACAACCTCCCCAGGGAGGGGTGCCTGGCCTCCTCACTTTTGATCTTTAGGAGGCAGTTGAAGATGGTTTTATTTAGGACTACACTGTTAGCAGTCCTGAGCTGTGCTTTTAAATTTATTAAAATGTTTTTTGGGAGGAAAGGCAGCATAGTACAGCCTGATCTCTTCAGATCTTGGAAGCTAAGCACAATTGGTACATGGAAGGGAGACCAGCAAGGGAGACTCTGCAGAGGAAAGCAATGGCAAACCACCCCTGCTTCTCCCTTGCCTTGGAAGCCCCTTACTAGAATCGTCATACGTCGGATGCGACTTTACAGCACTTTACACACACACACCTATTTAATATTTGTTATAAGCCACCCTGGGCTCTGTAAGGAAGAAAGGCCGCTAATAAATGTTTTAAATAAATAAATAAGAAAGGGAGGAAGAAGGGACTGAAATAGCTGTATCAAGAGAAAGAGAAAGAGAAGTCCGGCTTCCCGGCCAGTCCAGTAAGAGAGACCACAAACAAAAGCAGATGTAGACTGTCCTAAAAAGACTTTTCTGG